ATTATACCGTTGTTGTGTCTTTTTGCTGGTATTTTTTTCAACAATAGGCTGTCGCATACGATGAAAAAGTGTTATATTTTCTGGATTCCATTATTGCTTATTGTTAATATATCCTTGGCAGCATACTTTGGTTTATTTCATCAAATTGGTCCTTTTTCCGCAACATATTGGATTATAGAGAATGCAAAAATGCGATTTGCAGAGGGTCAACATTTTGAATTGGTTCATTTGATGCCTTGCTTCTCTTTACCACAGTATAGTTATTTTCATGGCTTTAATGTAACAGTTACAGCACTTGATTGTTCGCCCAGGTTTTCCAATCTTCTGGATTACATGGATCAGGCGGATCATTTTCATGATGATCCAAATCTCTGGATTGATGCAAATCTTGATTTAGTCAAAAAAGCCCATTATCTCGTATTCTATGAGAAAACCTACCAAAAGGTTCAGTATTCAGTCATTTCGTTGGGTTTCAAAATATGTGCTCGTTTTTTTCATGCTCATTTTCTATCTTCCATTCGTCAAGATCATTATATTGTGGTCGTTTGTCGGTAGTATTTTGAATATTGGGTCAAAAATATATCTCGTTGTTTTGAATTTTTATTCAAATAGTTCTTAAGTAATTTGCAATTGGTATCTTAGATTAATGCGGTTATTGTTCATATGTATCATCCATGCAAGCTTAGTCAAATCAATTAAATATACAATTTTTATTTATTAGCTATTCTTATTTCTTATCCGCTAGCTAATATTGGAAATTCGAATTTAAATTATCACACTTCTCATTTCCAGTGTATGCTGTTCTCTGTTGATAATTTGAAATGAAATCCTTTATTGTTCACTGTTTTCTTATTTTCATAATGATTTTTCTTTTTTTTATAAACATTATTTTTTGATACCAATAATTTCCTGGATTTGTTACAATTGTCACTTGTAACTCATAGTGGTTCGTGAAATCTGAGTAGTTCTCATTTCCCATTTCCTGAACATTGAGCTATTTTCCATTTTATAAGATATGAAATGCTATTTTTATAATAATGAATACTTAGAAGTTTTCACTTTTTTTTCATTCCTCTATTTACTTGCATAAAATCAGTATTTCAAATTCTCAAGAAATATTTATTGATTGATTGATTTGGAAGGTGTTTAATGTGAGCAGTTGTACTGCCACAGAAAATTCGAATGTCAATGTATTGTTCATAAATTAATGTCTCACCTTATAGATATTTAATAAATATTTGAGCTACCAATTTTTCTTTTATGTTTTTGTGAAATTCTCAAAAAATTTTCTTCTACCTTTAATAATAGATCTTTTTTATTGTCATAAATTGTGCAGTAGATGTAGGCTTAATTTTTCAGTTAGAATCATGAATGTTTTAACCAATAAAATGTTTAAATTACTTATCTGGCAGAATTAAGAATTTAAACATTGAAAAATATGCTAATTTGATTCTGGTTGGATTGCAGTTGATTTGCTAAAAGAGTAGAAATATGCAGTGTAATTTAAAAAAGCGTTGTATGCATACAAATATGATATTTGTTTCAGATAAATTTTCCAGAATTTAATTAGAAAATTTACAGGAATATAACTGTAACGGGACTACAGTGGATCACCCGGAATATGGTGAAGTAATCCAACTTACCGGTGATCAAAGGCAACACATTAAGGATTTTCTGTGCAGAGTTGGTATTGTCAAGGAGGAAAATTGCAAAATTCATGGTTTTTAAATTTATATGCATATGAGTAAATGTATAATTTCATATGTATTTTTTTTTCAAAATTACTTCAGTGAGATAACTCTAACGTCCGATCTTTTTTTTTGATGTATTAACTGATATGATTTATTGTACCAGACTATAATTGATATGAGTACCTTAATTTTCTCTTCTGAATTATTTTTGATTTTCAATTGAAGCTCTCTCATAATCTGATTTATATGTATATTCATTCAGGAAATGGGTTGCATGAAAATGAGATTAGTTTTCAGAATGTAAACCGGTATCCCTCTCCTCTACCTAATTATTTTTCTTGTTACATACGGTTTTGATGTAACTATTAGAGTTTTCTTTTAAAATATTTTAATTTCAAAAATTTGGTTTTTTAATTAAGTATGAAGAAAAATTATTAGCTTGATTTTGGAATTTTTCGAATTTTTCGAGCGTGATTTCCATATTATTACTGATTCATTGCATTAAATGCTCTAGCAATACTATTCCAATGGAAAGAAGTGTATTTAAATGGAAAGAGTAGGAATAATTAAATTTAATTCATCGATACAAATGCTGTCTGTTATTTCTCTTGATTTGAATTTTGGTACTGAAATAAACGATGCTGCTCATTGCACATTATATTATCTTGCAAATTTCAGTTTGTCAGTCTTATAGGTGGTACAGTTTGATAATGGTAAAATATGTAAATTTTAGCTCTGAGTTCATATTAGCATCCTTCCAATATAGGAAATTAATGATAAATATTACAGTTAATTAATGTAGTAGTAGATGATGTAAAATAATATATTATTAATTTAAATGATGAGATAACTCATCAAAACATAAAATTAATTTTGACATTATGTCGAATTGAGTCGAGTAAATTAATCATATTAATTTTATTCGATGTATTATAAGCTATGCAAATATCTTGAGCGAAGCAAGATAAGATGATAAGATGATAAGAAATGAGGTGAAGCGAGCAATGGGATGTTTTCCAAGTGATTATCACTAATTTACAATTGTTAATAGTTCTTAGAAATAGGCGAGTACAGATAAATTCTTTTTTGATTAGATATTTTTATGTTATCATTTATTTATCCAAATAAAAAAATGAAATATAAATTTTCTTTTTTAATTTCGATGTCTTATTATGTTACCGAAATAAATAAAAATTGAGAAAAAAACGAAAAGGAATTTTACTTGTTATTGAATCATTTACAACCTCAGGCAACAGTATTAATAAATTTAAAATTATTGAAAAGAAACATTATTCGATCGAGAAATATTGTGCTTCCTTTGGGACTTTTTTTTGTATTTAAAATTTCACTTGACAAGTTTATTTTACTTTATTTTGTCATTTTAATGATATTTTTTCAATTTAATATTTAAAATATGTTATTCGCATTTAAAATATGTTATTCGCTATAGAAAGATAGATTAAATTTATTTCATGTAACGCTTATAAATAATATAAAGCATTATCATTTTTTACTTTCAATTTAAATTTAAAATTTCATTTTAAACTTTTGTGAATGAAAACGAAGAATTAGCTACTGCATTGAAACACTTTCTTTCGTTTCATTTTTCTCTTAATTACCTAATTGTTTTTAATAAGTGAGAAGAGTGTATTATAAATAGGTATATTTGTCGTGATTTGGTGCCTTAATAGTTTTTTTTTTTCAACTCATTTGAAAATAAATAGATGGAATATGAAACACAGTAGTAATATCATATTATAATGTTCTAATGATAATTAATGAATTCCGGTTTAAAGTCACTTTAAACTCGAAATCATTAATTTCATGGAATTAGTGTAAAATTATTGCTGATAGATAATAATAGATTAAGATTATCAAGTTTTATTCGAACAATAGTAAATATGAGTGGTAATAATTATTGCTATAATGGTTGATAATGATTGAAATGTTAACAATTATTGCTCTTATTATTGCGGACAGTAACCATCACTATCATTACAACTGCTATTACTATCGTCGATCGAGAAGATGACAGCGGTCGGTCCATCATCGAGACATTAATCGGGCATTTATCATTGAAAGATTTAGTGTAACGGATAGTCATACAATTAGCTTAATTTAATAAAACTTGTTCTTTCCATTCATGTTAACGATGCACTCATTTTATTTATTTTTTATGAACCATTTTTTCTTTTCAATTATAATTGATGCCATTATTGCTACTTTAATATCATAAGCAATCATTATCATTATTACCACACCTTCTACTCTTTCTGTTTTTTCTTTTTTGTCATATTTTCATTTTTATTTAATTAATTTATTAAAATTTGTTTAGCAAGATAATAATTACTATTATGATCATCATTATTCCTTAATCAATTTACGATTTTTTAATTACATGTTTTACTGTATAATCAACAATTTGATTGTACTAAAATTTCATATTTTGGAAAATTGCATAGCAAATAATTTGTCATATCTAAAAACATCGACGACATTAAACAAAAGCGTGGAACGATAATATAATTGTTTCTCGAATAAATTTTTCTCAAAAAAAAAAAACTCGAAAAAGAATGCGACCTAAAATACAGGTAACTATTATTTTCTTTCCTTTACTCTCTAACATAATTCATATGAAAATTACAACTTATAAATCAATTTATAATAGTTATGAATATCAATTATCATTATAAATATCACACTTACAAAGATTATCACGGTTATAAATCATAAGAAATAAATTATTGATTACATAAATAACAATTGAATAATTCAAATTTCTATTTATTTGTTTTTTTTCTTTTCATTTTCATTTTTCTTTTACTTTTGCTAATAGTATTTGATCACCGCTCATATGAAAATATATTTTATCATCAATTTTTTTCCGCTCCAAGATACTTTTAGTCATTAAATTAAAATCGAAACAAAAATTCAATTTATTTTTGTAGTTTTGGGAAATCATTTCTAACAAAAATTTAAATTTGTTTTATTTCATCAACAGAAAAAGGGCAAAAAAGGATGCGACGAATGCAAGCATTTATATGAATTATTTAAATTCATTTCTATATTTTATTAGAAGCTGCTGAAAAAGATATTCGAAATGTTATCATTTTTCTTTCTTGTTAGTATTGCTTTTTTTTTAAAAAAAATATAATATTATAATAATAGACTTACTTTAAGGATGGTTTAAAAAAGAGATTTTAATTTAATTTCGATTTATACCGATACATTTGACGCATATAATTAATATTTCTTACCAATCACAAAGATATTTTCTCTTTCTTCTTCACTTTTTTTAAGGGAGCGGGATTCTTTTTTCACCGCTAATTTGTAAATTTTCAAATTTGCCAAGATTTGTTCTTTTCCGGTTCAAAGCACTATTGGGTGATCGAAGTCTACCAGTTTTGAAGTCACAAAATTTTTATTGGGTGTGAAAATTGAAATAGAAAATTTCCAAAATTTTCAATACTGCAAAAATTTTATTTCAAAATACTGAAAGTTTCTTCGCAAAAATTTTTTTTTTGCAAGTTCGAAATTAAATTGCAAATTTTTGCAAATACTACTGATGATGATGATATATTTTTTTTTAATTTAATAAATAAAATCCCTCAAAATGTTTATTTTTATTTGTTATTTTGGTCGTTTTGAAATGTTGAATAGAATTTGAAAATACGGAAATTTTTATCAAATTTTACAAATAAGATTTTGATACGATGTTCCACATAACTTTACAAATAAGTTATGTGGAACATCGTATCAAACGGTGCTATTTGATATCATTCTGAGGAATTATCTCAATATGAGAGCCCATTTCTGTCTCTTGAAATTATTAAGATAATGAGTGTGACTAAACGGACATCATCCAATCAAACCTAATTTCATCGTTTAATTTCAAGAATATACAAATATATAAAATATACATTTGACCTAAAATGAGTAAATTTCCAAACTTTTGTTGAAAATTTACGAAACTATAACCATCAATAATTCTACCATTAACAGAAATTGAAAAAAGTTAATAAATATAAAATACGTACATAATTTTAGTATAATTTCGATATGCAGTATTGGAAATGAAAAATAAAGCGAAAGATATACAAAAGAATTTTGACGGCAATCGTTCTCATTGCCATTGTTGCTGTCGTTGTTTGAATTATTTTTTAAATTTGAAAAAAAAAACACAAACAACTAGTAGTTATAAAAATTTGATAACGGAATTATATGTAAATACAAATCAGACAAACACATTATACTAACATATAATCATTTACATTGCTCATTCAATCGTTATTTGATAAGTATTATGGTAGAAGATAATTCAAATGTTCTGTTTCAATTTTAAATTTCTAATGAAATTACATTATAGGATGGAAAATTAACTTCATCAATGGTTGGACTTAATGCAACTGTTCTTGATTGTACAACCGTTATTAATAACGAGAATGGATATGATAAACAGAAATGTTTTACGATGATGACCAAACAACATAAAATATTACCTAATAAAGTTACTACGCCACCAACTCTCGAGGTTTGTTTAAATTGCTTCCTACAAAAAAAAAAATGAAAAAG